CCCCCACCAAACAACCCAAAGCTGAAGCACAACCCTCCAATAAATCATCTGGGATATCACCCAATCCAACATCACTCTTCTTCAAATTGATCCTTTGACCGACCAACAGTTCATAGAACTTGAGAATCACTTTTAAATTCATCACATACTCTGTAGACACGTCTAGAAATACCAGTGTATCATCTGCAAACTGAAGGTGAGTAATGGGAATTCCATGTCTTCCTGCTTTGAACCCTTCCAACATCCCAACACCCGCTCCTTTACTAAATAAGTAACTTAGGATTTCCGTAACCAAGACAAACAACAATGGAGGCAATGTATCTCCTTGTCTCAAGCCCCTATGGGCTTAGAAGGAAGGTATAGATATCCCTTTAACAAGAACTGAAAAAGAAACCGAAGAAATACATGCAAACATCTAACTACTCTATCTCTCCCAAAACCCATTCTTGCCAGAATTTCTTCTAGAAAACCCCAATCCGCTTGATCATAAGCCTTTTTAATATCAAGTTTGCAGGCTAACCCTAGATGACCACTTCTCAACCTTGAGTCAACACATTCAATTGCAATCTTCACCCCATCAAGAATTTGCCTGCCTTCCTCGAAAGCCATCCGGGTTGGGCCCACAATCTCATGCAAGACCGGTCTTATCCTTCTAGATAAAACTTTAGAAATGATTTTGTGTGGGCTTGAGATTAAGCTGATTAGTCTAAAGTCTTTGATTCTAGATGCCCCTTCCATTTTTGGAATCAGAGAAATGAAAGTTGCACTAGCACTTCTCTCAACAATATTTTCCTACCAAAATTCATTAAACATCCTCACCACATCATCCTTTAGCACATGCCAACAACATTTTATTAATGAGATATTAAAGCCATCTGGGCCTGGAGATCAACTTTTCCTCCTTGATGAACTTCTCTTTAATTTACCCCTTAGGGTCTTTGGTTATGCTTGTTTTGTTCATGATATGAGTACTTTCCAACATAAATTTGATCATAAGTCAATCAAATGTGTATTGCTTGGTTACTATCCTATCCAAAAAGGCTACATTTGTTTTGATCTTCTCTCTGGAAAGAAATATGTTTCTAAGGATGTTACCTTTTTGGTGTTCTCCATTTTCTAGCCATCCCATCCTTTTTTGGGGGAGATTGCAAGTGGCGATCAAACTCCTTTTTGTCTTATTGTTCTTGTCCCTATACCTCCTCCTCATCTTTGTAATGATGGCATTCCTTCTCTTCCTACTCCTTTTGTGTATTGTCCTCGTTGTTGGTAGCAATTCTTTATTAGGTGTAATAAGAAGGTTGCTCTTGAAGTTGAATGCCCATCACAATCTGATCTCTTGGACTCAGGTAATCTTGAACCTCGTAATAATTTTGTTACTGGTCTTGACCTTGACCTTCCTATTGCCATCCGAAAGGGAAAGAGGACATGTAGCAAGTATCCCATTACTAACTATGTGTCTTATGATGCTCTCACCTTCCTATTGTGCCTATATTTCTGCTATTTCTTCTGTTTCCATCCCCTGTAGTGTTATAGAGGCAAATGTAGTCCCCTCATTGAAGGAAACTATGAACCAATAGATGGAGGCCCTAATAAAGAACTAGGCTTGGGCGTCCTAAGGATAAGGTTCTTGTTGGCTGCAAGTGGGTGTACACTATTAAGCACAAGACAGATGATTCAATTAAGAGGTACAAGGCTCGACTTGTGCCAAAGGATACATTTAGACCTATGGCATTGATTATCTAGAAACATTTCCTCAAATTGCTAAAATGAACACTATTGGGGTGATCATGTCTCTTCTTTTTTGAAAGGTAAAATGAAAATTTTATTAAAAATAAAAGAATAGGCCAAATACAAGCATCCCTAGGTGTCAAGATAACACTCGTCCAATAAACAACAAAAACAAAACCAAGGGGGTACAAAAGTAAGCCCTTGAACACAACATCTTAAACATCTTAAAACAAATCATCTTACTCATCTCTTTCCTTCATTCCATGCCTCTCCTCCTTCCCCAACAATGATCTTCCTCAAGCTGTCTTCCTGCTTGTTTTTTTCAATGCTTTGAAAACCCTTCTAACGAACTCTTCTCTGCCTGAAAAAAACAGTGCCAAGTTCTTGCCGACCTTGAAATCCTTGTCAACCAGACATTTAATCTCCATTCCCCCTCCTTCTCATTTACATCGATTGATGAACATGCAAGTAAGCTCTTCTCACTATCTCGATCACCCCCTTCCTCCTTATCCTTAATCTTTGACCTTGGCTCCAAACCTTCCTCAGAAACTGACATCCTTTTTAACTTCACCCCTTCTAGATCTTGACGTTTGGCTCCCTAGAACTCATCAATCTTCATTTTCAAAACATTACCCCTTGAATCTCTTTTCTTATAGAGTTCCTTCTTAAATTTGTTAGTAGGACTAGCACTAGTCCATCTTTCAAATGAGAGAATACTTTTGACACATGAGCAAGGTGGAACTTGCTTGCTTCTTTTTGTTTCCTCACTGTCTCTGGAACAACATCGTCCCTTTCCTTGATCTCAAAATTCTTCTTCAGCCTAAATCAACCCAAGCCTTTTGATTGGGACTTCAAATCTTAAACCCTCTTTTCAATCTTCTTTTGTACTTGCGTCCTCGAAATGATTGCTTTCTTCCAATCTCTTAGTTTAACCTCCTTCGAAATCCTCCCCTTTTGAGTGCTTTCTTTCTCCCTTACACCCTCCTTTGCTTCCTCTAAACCAACCTCCTATTCTCCCCTGTCTCCCTCAAACCTAGCATCTTCCCAATTAGACAAAGCCAACCGCCCCACTTGAGGCAGAACAATAGGGATCTCAACCACAAAAGTACAAAATAGATAAACTTACCTAATGGACAATTAAGCTTTGTCTTCTACTCTGATCTCCAAATTAGATGAAGCTAGATGACCATCTTCTCGAGCAATCATGTCTCTTGCTGCCCACTACTCTTGGCCTTTATATCAAATAGACGTGAAGAATGCCTTTCTTAATGGGGACCTATAGGAAGAAGTTTATATAGACTTACCACTTGTAAGCCTTGTTAACAGTGAAGGGAAAGTTTGCTGAAGAAGTCTTTGTATGGGCTCAAGTAGTCCCCTAGAGCCTGGTTTGACAAATTTAGAAATGTTATCTTAAAGATTGGATTCTCTTAATCTCAGGTAGACCATACATTGTTTATAAGAAGAATTGATGGTAGAATAACAATGTTGATAGTATATGTTGTTGACATTATTGTGAAGAGTGATGACTTTACAGGTATCTCTCAATTAAAATTCTTCCTTACTTCAGAATTTGAGATTAAGGATCTTGGTGATCTCAAATACTTTTTTGGCATTGAAGTTGCAAGATCCATGAAGGGAATATTTCTTTCAAAAAGAAAGTATGTTCTTGATTTACTCCATGAAGTTGGGAAATTGGGGTCCAAGCTTGTGGAAACTCCAATTGATCCTAACCACAAATTGAGTGCTACTGAAGGAAGCTTCTTCCAGACAAAGGGATAATTCAGGGATTGATGGGTTGTTTCTTGTATCTTTGTTTGACTAGACATAACTTATCTTATGTTGTTGGAGTGGTTAGCCAATATATGAATGAACCCAAAATATTTCACATGCAAGCAGTTAATAGAATTTTAGCTTATCTAAAAGCATAGTTTTCAAGGCGCCAAGGCGAGGCTAGGCGACAAGGGGGCGCCTTGTCGCCTAGTCACCTAGGTGCTGTTGAAAACATAGATCCTAGGTACCATAACCATATTTCCTTGATAATTATTTATAATTTTCATAAGAAAAGTATAAAGTTCATATTAAAGTATAGAAAATCAACATATTCATGAGAAGAAAAAGAAGGAAAATAAAATTAAAAAAATATAGGGGATGAACTCTTATTTTAGTTTTAGGTAAAGAAGAAAAGAAAAAGTAATGGTAGTAGTAAAAAACTGCTTGGCGATTAGGCGAGGCAAGCCTCAAAGGGCGCCTTGTCGCCTAGGCGCCTGCCTAGGCATCCCCTTGACAACTATGTCTAAAAGGGTGTCCTAGTAAAGGAATGTTGTACTCCAAACATGGTCAACTAAAGATTGAGGCTTACTTAGATGCCGATTGGGCTGGGTCCATTGATGATAGAAGATCCACATATGATTACTTTGCCTTAATTGGAGGCAATGTGGTTTCATGGAGAAGTAAGAAACAATTAATTGTTCTTCATTCTAGAGTTGAGGCTGAATATAGGGTAATGGCTTATGGGGTGTTTGATCTAGTCTAGTGGAAGACCTTCTTGATTGAGATGGGCATACAAGCTGATACTCCAATGAGACTATCCTGTGACAATCAAGTTGCCATAAACATTGTTTACAATCTTGTTCAACATGATCATATAAAACATATTTCGGTAGACAAACACTTTATCATGTGGATTGCTAGCGGAGAGATTTGCTTTCCTTTTGTATGGTCGGAAGACCAATTAGCTGATTGCCTCACTAAGGGTGTTTACCATCCAAAGTTTGTCAAGAACCTTGTCAATCTAGACATGATTGACATATATGCTCAGCTTGAGGGGGAGTGTTGAGAATGCTTGGACAGGGTGTTTTTGGTCTTTTCATTATCTTTTTGTATTTGGGCTCCCAAGTGGGGGCTTTCTTGTATTTTTTCCTCAAAATATAATTATCTGTTTTGAGGGTGTGAACACTAACACACACTTCTCATTCAACAGTTTCTCTTCTCTTCTCTCTTCTTCTTCCTCTTATTCTCTCTATAAACCCTAGATTGACTTAGTAATTCTGATGTTTATCTAAGATGTGACAAATACCTTTTCTATCAAAATTTAAAAGAAATCCGTACAACTGCACCGAGTTGAGGAATGTTAATTAATTTATACTAATACAGAACTATTTGATTGATTTGTCCTACAATTCTTCATTACTTAGAACAGGTTGGACTGGAACTGTGCACTTGACATGTATGACACTGTGACCTCTTTCTAAGCTTTTAAAACACTTATGCAGACTGAGTTGGAGGAAGCAAAAGCAGAAGAGATAATGAAGCTGCAGAATTCTTTGCAAGATATGCAGAACAAAATGAATGAAACAAATGGACTACTTGGCAAGGAAGGAGAGTCTTCATATACAGCAATTGAAGATGCACCTCTTGCTATCAAGGAGACCTCAGTTCTTGTCCAAGATACCAAAACCATAGAATCTTTAACCGCAGAAATGGAAACCCTGAAGGTAATTTACATTTAATTTTGTTAATGATACTGCATCCATGGTCTTCCATCAATCAGAACAGAAACATAAGAAAGGGTACCTGCACTCTCAAAAAAAGGCGTGTCTGTACTCTTATCTTCAGGAAATCAATTGCTTAGGAATATTTTGGTAATACATTGTCAAATATAGGAACATCTTTTTCAATGTAGTTTAAACTTACAGAGCAATAACTATTGATAATGAAGGGATCCATAATATTAATAGAGCAAACTGTTTATAAGCATAAAGATAAGTACTTAATACAATTATCTTTCAGAATACTGCATCCTATTTGTAAGCAATTTTAGACTCTTAAGTTCAATAAACTATTGTCATCCATAACAAGAGGCATGTGTATTGCTAAATGTAACTATGAGTAAGGTTGAATCTGCTTGGATGTACCACAGATGACTAGATGAGACACAGAATGATCTTGTAAAATAAGATAGCTTAATCGAAACTTCTGTTGAATTAGGAGCATTATTATACATATACCATTCAGAATTTCATTTGGGACTTATGAAGTTAGTCCCTAATGAGGTGCTACAATATCCACTTTTGTAGAAAAAGCACTGTCTAAATATATAAATGAATATAAGTCAACACAGTCCAGTACTCTTCCAAAGAAGACCTCGAGTCTGGAGGTATTGGATTCCTCCATAATTGCATTAATACTGTGATATAGGACCTGCTCAATTCCAGTCCAATGTTGAATGGTCTTCCTTGATCAGAAATTTTTGACTGTTGATGGCTGTAATGGCTTCTTGAAGGTATAAGAAAGAAAATAGAGAAATAAAGAAGAGAGAGATACCCAATCACTCACAAGGTGCCTAGAATCACTCACCATAATTAGCATAAGCTCAAAAAATCCCAATAAAATTCATTGATCTTTGTATAAAAACGTTCATACATATTTATAGGTTTGATCATCCATTTGGTGGTGAAGTAATGTACAGAATTTTAGCTGAGTATTCAGTAGTTTCTTAAGTCTTCCAAAAATAATTGTCTCTACTCTTTGCAGTAGTCTAAAATATTGCTATGCAAAGCCAATTTTCCTTGATTTCTTCTTTGGGGATGTAAGAATACATCAAACTACACCAACATAATTGTTGTTTTCCTCTAAAGTATCATCATCAGTGAAAGTATAGTTCTTTTTTTTTTTGTTAACTCAGTCTGGACAAGAGGGATAATTTTGAATAGGGTGTGAGAGGATGATTCACACACCCCCGGAAATTATCTTATATATGAAAGTTACACAAAAGTTGAGAAATGTGTTGATAGTTCAGTTGAACCAGGTTCAGAAATATAGAAAAGAGAAAGAGAGAAGAAGAGAGGGAGAAGAAGAGAAGAAGTGTTGATTTCAGAAGTCAAAGAGACCATCCCAGCCGACCACATATATATATATTTGTCCCTACTTAAGTATGGGACATGTAACTTAACAGAGTACCCAATAGACAAAACACATCTTAACTCATGATGAAAAGACAGAAATGCCCTTTCTTAGCCGACTCTAACACTCCCCCTCAAACTGGAGAGTATATGTCATATATTCCCAGCTTGTTACATATATAATTCACTCTTCCTGAACTCAATCCTTTTGTAAACAAGTTTTCCCACTGATCACTTGTTCTCACATGCTCTGTACTTATGACACCAGTAAGGACTTTTTCCCTAACAAAATGGCAATCTACCTCTATGTGTTTAGTCCTCTCATAAAAAATTGGATTGGATGAGATGTGAATTGCAGTTTGGTTGTCACAGTATAGTTTCATGGGTTTGCTTATTGAGAACCTGACTTCCTGCAAAAGATTTTTCAACCACACTACTTAACATGTAGTGTGTGCCATGGCCCTGTATTTTGCTTCAACACTACTCCTTGCTACAATAGTTTGCTTCTTACTCTTCCATGTCACCAGATTTCCTCCAAAAAAGGTGCAATAACCTATAGTGGATCTCCTTTCAGATACTGAACCCACCCAATCTGCATCTGTATACCCAACTATTTCGAGACTTCCTCCTTGTTTAAACAATAATCCATGCCTTGGAGCCCCCTTTAAATAGCGCACAATTCTAAGGACTGCATCCCAGTTAGGAACTTGGGGGCTTTGCATGAATTGACTTACCACACTAACAACAAAGGAGATATCTAGTCTAGTAATAGTTAAATAATTCAGTTTTCCCACTAGCCTTCTATACCTTCCAGGATCATCAAATAATTCACCTATATCACTGCCCAACTTCACATTTAGTTCATGGGAGTTTCAGTTGACTTAGCACCTAATAGTCCTGTTTCTTCTAATAGGTCAAGAAACATATTTCCTCTAACACAAGTTTATACCTTGCTTCGATCTAGCAACTTCTATACCCAAGAAATACTTCAACTTCCCAAGATCCTTTGTTTGAAAGTGATCTTGTAGAAAGACCTTTAGTCTATCAATTCCTAGTTTATCACTGCCAGTTATGACTATGTCATCCATGTAAACCACTAGCAAGATCTTCCTGGATTCAGAATCATAGCTGAACACTGAGTGGTCAACTTGACATTGTCTCATTTCGAACTCTTTCACTACTTCACTAAATTTGCCAAACCAAGCATGGGGAGACTGTTTGAGCCCATAAATTGCCTTTTTGAGCTTACACACCTACTTTTGTTCTTTGAGTACTACACCAATTCACTCACCACCGTACAACACTTCCTCATCCAACCACCACGATACTACCTAAGCACACATTCAGCCACTTCTGTTAGCATAAAAAAAAAGCTTCTGATAACACCACAACCACCATCTGAAAAAAAAAATCCCTCTTGAAACTGCTTAGTAGAGGGTTCAAACCACCACAAACACAACCACACGACCACTAAGGCTGTCACACATGGTGATAGCAGTCCAGAAACCTCCTACTAGGGTTCCGCACTGTTCTCTCACCTGTAATCCAGACCACCGTAACCTTAGGAACACCTGAATAAGTTACCGTTGCCCTCTGTAGATTGCCACCGTCGTCTCTTACCCTTAATCCAGGTTATGCAGCCTGAAAAAAAATAAACAAAAGGAAAGAAGGGTAGAAGAAGAACTGATCGTAACACTGAGAACTTGAAGCTGTAGTATTCTTCTCTCCTGTTTGGCACTCTGATACCATGAGTCGATAGTTTAGTCGAACCAGGTTCAAAAATATAGAAAAGAGAAAGAGAGAGAAGAAGAAGAAGAAGAAGAAGAAGAAGAAGAAGTGTTGATCTGAGAAGTCAAAGAGACCCTCCCAGCCGACCCCCCCCATATATATAT